CGCAAAGTGCTTAGACGGAAAAGAATGAAAATGCATAATACACTGGTAATCATGGAGAGAGTTGTATGTTTCTTAATGTCTTCCGCAGTGAGATAAAAGCTCTCCAAGTTCTGTTGTGCACCATGGCGGCGAGAGCTGAAGCGATATATTTGAATGCACCAGAGCAGACGATTCATTTTTATTTATTTTTTTAAACTGGCACCACAATCTATTCATTGGACTTAGATAGATTCTGGCTGCTCCATTGTTTAAAAATGAGCAGATTAAATATTTTCAGATGAACTGGATTTTCATTAATCTACTATGGGGCACGTGCAGAGAGGAAAAAGAGCTCCACAGGAGATCCGCAAGAGGAATCCTGGGTCCACTAGGCACCGAGGAGTGCAAGGACAGGATGCCAAACTGAAAACAAACCCAAGGATTACCCGGGTCTTTAGATCCTGCAATGCCACATGCGTCAGAGGGGCCTGAAGCCCCTGAGAGCGTTTTTGAGTTCAGGTCTCGGTTAACTGTGACATGCAGGTGACCTTCGTGAACTGGCAACCTGACATGCTGCAGTTTAGATGCTCCATCCGTCACCTGGCATGGCACAGCGCCCTGGGCACACACAGCCTGGAGTAACTGGGGGTACCATCTCCTGGCCACCCCCAGAGCTACAGCCCACACCCCGCATGGAATATCTCACATGTGCAGAGCAAGACAGCAAGACAGAGCCAGAATCCAGAACTCGAGGTTGCTGGATTTTAACGAGAAAAACCAGCCATCGGCAGCAACGAGTTTAAAGCCAACCCATCTGCGTGGACTACGTGGCCAGACGACCCAGTCAACCAAACCTGCCAGGCCTGCACTCGCCCCCGATCCCAGCAGCACTGTCAGCCGCCTGGCGGGGGACAGGGGAACAGGGGCAGGTTTAATTAAACAGGCCTGCTCTCTGGGGAGTCTCGGGTCCAACATGAGCCCTGGCATGCCAACTTGTCAGCCACGTCCAAAGACTCATCTCTGCTTCCATCATCAACCTCTGATTCAGCGGCTGATTGAGCCCCTGAACAGAAGCTCGCTGCAGGTCTGTCCACTAGCCTTGCAAAGCTGCTCAGCATTAATCACACTGCGGTGATTCAGACTGCACAAGCAAGGTACAAAGTTCCCACTTGAAAAAGAACACACTCATGCTTAGATCACAGGCAAAGCACAGCTTTGAAGACGGCACCGTTGTCACATAAGATTATGTGACCGCTTTGTCAGTCCGGCGTCTGCAGATTTATCCCTTGACTTTCACCAAAGGGTAAGGAGAAGCAACTATCTCCACCAGTAAAACGGGCTTCTTTTCAACCTGAGCTCCACATAACTGATCTGAGCATTACTTTGATTTATGCAGAACCTCTGTACGAATACATGCAGCGGTAGTGTGTGTGTTTATCTCATGTCATGTTCAGTTACGCTGTGTAAGAATGTCTTTTAGCTTGGATGTGTAACAGTGTTACTCATTGTAATTTTGAATGTTAGCAGCCAGAATTTGGCATAAAAAACACAAACAACCTGTTTTTTTTTACCAGAATTATAAAAGTACAAGGGACCAATCTCCCAACAGCTCAGAACAATCTGGTAGCACTTGATGTTCAAGAGAAGAAGTTCAATTAACTGTTTTCAGATAAAGCACGCTTGTTTTCCAAGCCTGTTGCTTCAGGACAAGCTAGACCTTACACTGTAGATCTGAAGCCTAGAGTGACTGAACCTTGAATATTAACCCCTATCACAATCTCGTGCCTGAGCTTCATAAGAGTCTCAATAACAGCACCTCCATCTTTTTCATTCCTTAACACCAAGGTGGAGAGAGCCCAAGCAGGCACCTTACTCACATGACCACATAGACATAATCGAGCCCGTCTCTCATTTTACATCAACCTAACCAACATCTCTGGACAGCCAGTATCAAGAACAGTTCGTTCTTTCACAATCTCCATCCAACACCTACTACCAGTGCCACGTTTATGACCAATTTCTTTTTAAAAAGATTAAGCTAAAAGATCAAAGCATGAAGCGATCTTTTGGGGTTTTTTTTCCCCCAGTCATGCCCACTTAAACCATACAGCAACTGAGCATTCATCATCCTGCCTCTTTAGCACAGGCTCTGATACGTTTTCAGTAACTTATCGGCTTGCAGCCTCTCCTTTTCTCTATCCATCTCCAGCTGGCGAAACCCTTCCCAACTCCGCCACTGTCAGCCTCCTCACAGAGGCCCGTTAATGTCAGCGGCATCATTTATCAGCCGGCACAGCACGGCCCCAGGGAAGAGGCTCGCCGACTCGCGCCGGTTAGCACCGAGCGCCGGCAATTCTTCAGCTCCGGCCCCTGGTCTCGTTTTCTGCTCTGGGAGCAGCAGTGAATGAACTACCCCCTCCCCGCCCGCTGCCGAGAACCAATTTATCATGGGGGGGAACGTCTTCTCTTATCAGTCCGGGGGTTGTGGGACTCCAAAGAAAGGAGCAGACAGATCATTTATCGTTAATTAAAAAGGAGCCTGGGATTCGTGCCACTGCCGTCTAAATCATCAAGGTCAGGTTTGTTTTCTCAAAAAAGAGACAAGCTCCTCAGCGACAACACTTCCACAACAGGCTCCAGGTCTTTCTGCTTCCTTGCTGTTTTCTAGTTTTTGTTGTTCTTGTTTTCTACAACCTCAAAGGGCCCTTCTAATAAGATCAGATCACTTTATTAGCCCTATACAATTTCTTGCATTAGGAATTTGTCTTTTCGCAGACCCCAGCTTGCTCTCCATGAGACACACAAGCAGGGAGAGAAGCTGGGGGTCAGAGCGCAGGGTCAGCCATTTATACGGCGCCCCTGGAGCAGCTGGGGTGAAGGGCCTTGCTCAGGGGCCCAACAGAGTAGGATTCCTCTGCCGGCTGCGGGATTTGAACCGGCAACCTTACAGCCACAGGCGCAGAGATCCTTACACTTCGGGAGACACAATATTAATGGGGCAGCACCCTACTCCTCTGATGTTCTCCAGTAACTGAACTTATCAGTGCTCACAGGGTTTGGCAGGTGTTAGGAATTCCAACACGCTAGACGGTTTAATAAGACTGAACCGGGTTGGAGTCTTTTACTGCACAATGTGTTTTCAAAAGGATACACATCTTTTGTTTTTGCATCGTCTGCGGGAGGAACAATTTCCAATATACAGTATTCAGCCGAGATGATCAAAGCAAACACATAAGACCTCAATACAGATACAAGCACGCGGCAAAAGCTACTAGATGCTCAGATGTAAAACCCCTAATATTCTCTTTTCTCAGCGAATGTAGTTAAAAATGGAAGAAATATCACCAAACTGGGTATTCTACACAAACAGCTGCTTTAATGATACCATGCTCTGACGTCCCCTCCTGAGAGACCAAATAAAAAAACCTGGAATACAGGGTAAATTTGTAAGGAAGCGGTGCCAAAATTCTTTATTAGTGATCAGTGGATGTATTTCAGTGTACTTCCCTCTGGGACTGAGCCAAATTGTCAGCTACAGCAGCGATAAACATCTTAATGACACAGCTATTCTCGAGACATGAAAGACAGTCCAGCTTCAGCACTGATGTGTTCACAGGGACATTCGTGTTTATCTATGCAAGGAACACGCAGCTCAATTATCCAGTCTGCTGTCTGTTGTGTTCTGCATCCCACAAGGGCGACTGCCTTTTATCTACAAACGAACAGGGATAAACGGAGAAGAGCAGCTTGCATTTTCCCGGCACTGAGAAAACGCACGAGACAGACGAGTGGGGTTCCGGAGGTTGGTGCCTGGGTTCAAGATCTGGCTCAACCTCTGACCTGCACTGCACTGGCACAGAGCAAGTGACTGGCCCCCGTCTCCGCAGGGCAGTCTTCGCGGACGTCCCGAAGCGCTTTGGATAAAAATGTCGACGAACTGCCTGAGCAGCACTGGGGAAAAAAGTAACAGATCTGCCATTTTCAGAGTCTGGAGGGTGCAGCCACGCTGGCCCAGTCCAGCACTGCGGCCACACACAACCAACCCCTCACACGCTCGCCAACCAGCCGGAAAAAAGGGGGGGGGAGTAATTAATTTTTAGAAGCCTGCCTTTTCCCGTCGCCTGCACTTGATAAAGCGCCGTTATCTGGATACCCTTTAGGCAGTTCTAATGTCAAGCCCAGCTCCGGCTGCCTTCTCCCCTGGAGTCTGTGAGAAGGCGGCGGCGCTGGGGGCCCGGGCAGGAGATTACAGCGTGGCCCCGCTATCGGCCCCGCCACTGCAGGACTGCTTTGACGAGCCTTTTCCTCTCGCTCTTATCAACAGCCTATTTACACGAGCCACGGTGTCTGCAGAGGCCGATCCCCCTTCCGTATCAAAGGCAAGGCGCCGATACCTCT